GTCATCTTTTTCGCCAGTAGAAACAGCTGGTTGTTGATCACGTGATTCTATGATGCGAAAAGTGTTTCATTTGCAGTTTTGCGAAAAAAAAAACACCTCATCCTAGCGCAAAAACATTTTGTTGAAAAATGTAAAAAAAATTTCAAAATTGGTGTGTTTCCATTGAGCAAATTTATTTTCGAAATTCTAATTTGAGCATTTTCATGGTCAATGGAAACGCAACTATAGTTACGCTCAGTTCTAGTTTCCCTTCACTGCTCTGTGTGCATTTTCTCCCATAGAAAAGAATTTCTCCGGTAAAATTTCAACCGGGCCAATCAGTGAACGGAAGGAGGAGTTGTGAACGACAACACTGAGTTTAGCAACAGCTTGTAGTTTAGCAATGGCAGCAGAGGAAGTGAACGACTGTGTTGACAAGGCTTCCAAATTCAATTAGATTTGTCTCACAAAGCCTGCAGCTCTCTTTTACAGCCATCTCGTTTGGCTCGGTACTTCTCTCTTTCCTGTACAGGATAGTTGTTTACAGCACACGCAACTTCCGACTAGCTTCTTAGCCTAGCTTCCTTYGCGGTCGAGCTGGCACATYATGTCACTGCCAAATGTTAGCAATTGAGTAAATCAGAGCCAATTGTTTTAAACTTCAACAGAGTCCACGCCTCCAGAAATCACTTCTCAATAACTGAGAGTTCAGACCCTCTGTACTCAACAAAGCAAAGAACAAGGGGCTGGTTTTAACCAGGCTGGCGGGTTGGAGTTTACTGTGAAATCTTATCATTCTGTCCTGATGAGGAATTTCAATGGAAATCTCTTATWGGCTTTGCACTCATGTAGATGGCACAACAATAAGAAGTTTTGTGTTAAATATTGAGCATTAGGATTGAAGAAATTATTGGGGTTTATGTWACTTAGTTACATTACACATTTGGTTTGTTTTAAGATAAAACTGTAATGACTGTTAAATGTGACTTTTGATTAACTTGATGATTTTATTAAACTTAATTATTCTATTAATAGTTACATGCCTGATAACAAATACAACACATATTGAACTTTTTAATAATTAGAATAGGTTTATTGTACAAGGGCAGGACTCTGACAAAGACAGCCCCCCACCCTGATGATGTAATCAATAGGCGGAGTCATGCCCTGAAGCTAATGATAAAAACTCTTGTTATTTCCTGATTCGSTCTGATTTCCCTGGTATTATTAAACCGGACATCAGCTCTCTGGTTTTGTAYGGCCRTTCTTTAAGACATCTCAATGCAATTGCACATTCTCTGAATGGTTTCGCACACATCCTGGTAACGAACACGAAATAACTCGATATTTCTTTCAGCATCTTGAAGCATTTTAACAGTGASTTAAAGCTGTTGTTTATACAGAAACTAAAATAAAAATATAATAATAATTTTACTGCAGAACATGGTGTGTTTCCAAATAAGGTTTAACATGTCTTACATTTTATGCAGTGAAACTGTAAAACAACGAAGGCACAGCCACACATCCGCAGTGCTGAGGTTGTTGAAGTTCTTCACCRCTGAAATGTTTGTTGGAGGATATTTTTGAGAGCTGATGTGCAGCCAGCAGTCTCAGTCACTACAACCTACACAGCATCTGTCCTGTTCAGAATAGCTGAAAAAAAAGAAGTTTCAAACCTACAGGTTTGTCAGTGTAATGTGCAGAGCAAGAGCAGTGTTAGTATTCAGCTTTAGGCAGCATTTACCTTGACCCTCCTGCTGCCTGTGGGTCAAAATGACCCACAAAGTCTCAGTCTTAAAACTGAAACTTTAAAATGCTGACTGAAGAGCAACAGGGGGTTAAAATACAATAAAGGCTGTATACAGCATATGTTAGCTGTAACTACGTAGCATTTTGGCAGCAAACAGAAGCATTATTTCAGAAAAGGTGTTTCGGTTTGTTAGATTTACACAGAACATGTGACCATTTTTGTGGATTGTTTTATTTTAGCACTTTAAAACAAAGCTGCGACTTTTCTTCATCTTTTTTGACAACATCTCTCATCTTTGGGATATGTTGAAAAAGGAAAAAAGAAATTGAAGTAAAGTTCCCTAAACATTACACATACAAGGTAAAGAGGGAATAAAATAAAAATACAAAATACCATTATTTAAATCATGTATTCATTTTGTCCCACCGCGTTTTTGTTTAAATTTGACATATCCGGCTCAGGTTATTAACATCAAAAACTTGTTGAATATGCGACAGCATTCTGCAGGATGCAGGTGCAGCTTATCTGCTGCTTCAGTTTAATAACAAATTGTAACATAAAAAAACTGGCTGCAAAATCTGACTTTCAACACTTTCAGAAGCAAGTCAGTGTTAAGAATGCTCATTGAGACATTTTGCTTGTTASGTTAGAATTATTATGCAGCGTTGATCTGAAACAATGAGTTGTTGTGGTAACCAGAAATGTTTTTAACATCATTTGAGCTTTTGCTCTTTTTTCCACACATTCATAAACAGGATTTTAATAGAATTTTTAGCAATTTAAGAGCTGATGTTGAAGAATAATGAGAAGAGCACAGCAATAAAAAAATTTAAAAAACACAAAAAATATTTATAAATTACTTACTCAGCAATGAAATTTTAAGTTAAAACACCCACGCTAATGRTGGTTGTTTAAAGCTGATACAAACTAGGAAGCTCATTAAGTCAAGCTCATTCACTAATGAGTGTCCATCTGTTATTGTGTAACCATGTTTAATACAGTATTTCAGAGAATTAGCCATGGAATTTATTTATTTTTTCCACAAGTGAGCTTAGTCATTACATTAATTAGGTCTGGCAGTGTGATGTCTGCATGTGTGACCCAGCCATGTTTGCAGAACCATCTCACTGTTAACCTTTCTGCTATTTCATGTCTGTCACCCAGTGACACTGACATTTTTTAAAGCAATGTGTCTTTTCTTGTGTCAAATTTCTTTTGAAACTTAGAATAAATTACTGATAATGGGAATAAATTGAATAAAAAAAAACATAATATAATTCAAAAACACCTGCAATACACTGTGTGATCAATAAGTCAAACATTTAAATAAAACAACAATGAAGAAATATGATTTAGCATTGACATTAAAAAGTAAATCATTTGAAACCTTTAACAAAAAAGGGTGATAAAACTAATTCAGGACTGCTTCTTTTTTATTTATTTATTTATTTTTTACAATTTCTTTTGGTGCATTTTGGTTGACTAGTTTATGTAGCCACACTTACTAATAAGAAATTCAAAACCATGTTTAAGATAAGATGCACTTTAAAAAGTTAATTTGTTTAGTTGGTTGCCACTTTTGCAGCCAGAAAATCAGCTTGACCAGACCTTTAACTTCTTTTTATGCTGTTGATTTCTGCCCTGCTAAAGCTGCTAATGCAATTCATTATTCTCTGGAGCTGACAACACTTAGAACTTGTGATTAATGCATTTGCAGGCTTTTGCCTGGGGAACTGAAGATCTGTGCCAGTTTATCAACTTTTAGTGGTGGAGGACGAAAGATGTGAGAAGAAAGTGAGAACAGAATCAATATTACAGAAGATTGTCGCCTAAATGTTCATCAGAAGTTTGATTTTTTTTTTGTGAGTTRTCAGCAGTTTGCTCCAGCCCAGCAGTACCCAACCCAATTCTGGAAAAAAAACGGAAATTAGGTTTTTGTCTTCACAATTTAACAAGCAAAAGGACTTTGATGTCTTGGATTGTGCGGACATCAAACTTTGCATTGGTTTATTTATTCTCACTTCATCTTAAGCCAATAATAATTTCCAGCATAACATACAATGAGTTAGATTATCTGCAGCTGGTAACTAAAGCTGATCTCTGTGTGAACAAAATGATCTGAACAGCAATGTCAGATTGTTTAATCAATTGTCTGGATTTTAGAAGTTCCTTTTGTAAGTCGGGATTCAAACAAAAGAAAATCCAATCCATGTTTTCTTGCAAACAGTCTGAAGTAAAAACGACAACAGCACGTGTCCCGAGTCATGTGTGGCTCAACTGTCAGATCTGTTTATTCTTGCTTCCTTGCTCCCACGTCCCTGCCTGCGCTCACGAGATAACTGTTGTCTGATTCCTTTGCAAGGACATCAGTAGCGTTTTACATTCGACTTGCTTTTCGCAGAACATATGTGGGCTGCACAGAGCACATAATAAATATGCTGGATATGCTGGAAATAAATGGCTACAGGGGAAAAAAATTGTAGATAATCCAAATGTTGTAGCTCACTGAAGTCAATAAAGATAAGACTGTTACAATTTTAATCAGAGTTCTGACTGATAACAGCAACCAACTCCAGGTTTACAAATCTTACAATGAATACTTCTGTTATCTTCTTAGCTCTTAAAAACATGCACACACTGAGGGTGCTTTAGAAAATCACCAAAATGTCCATCCTGTTACATAAGCTAACCCAGCTGGCTAAGGCTCAGTGTTAGATGGAGTCAGTGGGCATGTAGAATACACACAACACTAATGTCTGTATTTGTTCTGAAATGTGTAGAAAAATAGATTGCAACGTTTACTAAAGGGAAAGTCCTTCAGAAATACTCATCTCACCGAAAAACCTTCAGATTAGTCTTTTGAATGAAGACCTGCATGTCAGCATTTGCTTTATCTACAAAGTCAACTTAAACAGCTCTAAGCTAATTTGTGACCTGTTGTTTCTTTGAATGGCATAATGTGTTGGGATGTTATCAAACTGATTTTTTTATTTCTTTTTCAAGCATGCTTATCACTTTCAAACAAGTGCTATTGTCTCATGTTACACACAAAGTCTCACACGTTATTGGCTGTGTGGGTGGAGGAAGAAAGAGACAAATTTAGAACGAGGGACAGGGAGGGGGTTTCCTCTCCTACGGGGAAAACATAAATAGACCAGAGAAGTGTTATGGCAGTGGATTTACCATATTACTGCTGAATGCTGCACTCAGATACGCTCTATCTGGGTCACGCACAGCAAACAGAAAATGACTCTGAAATGTGATTACTTACCATTTGGAAGCTTGTGACTGTTCTCAGTTAGCCATTCAAACAGGTTGGCAAAGTTGCAGTTACACACCCAGGGGTTGCCCTCCAGTCTCACCACGCGTAAAGAGGGCAGCTGACTTAGAGCCCCCACTTTTAGCGTAGACAGTGCGTTACGTTCCAGTTCAAGTTCTCGCAAAGAGGTGAGGCCCAGGAAAGCGTCCTCATTCACCATGCTCAAATATGGGTTGTTTCCCAGTCGCAGTTTGATCAAGCTGCGTGATTCCCCAAAAGTCCCCTTGGGGATTTCAGTCAGATTGTTGCTACCCAGATCGAGGAAGACCAGTCTGGATGAGGTGCTCAGGGTCCCAGGTTCTATACAGGATAGGGTGTTGTTCCGGAGGTCCAAATAGACCAAGTCACTGTACAGAACCAGAAAATCGGAGGGAATGCGGGGTATCCAGTTGTCAGCTAGAAGAAGCCTTCGAACATCCAAGGGGATCTCTTCAGGAAGACGGGTCAACCCACGGCCACTGCAGTCCACGGTGTGAGGATCTGGGCACTGACAGGTTGCTGGGCAGTTTTCCCCCCGGGTCCAAAAKACAGAGGACAGCAAGACGAGGATAGGTTGAAGCCGGCAGACACATGGCAACATGGTCAAGAGGGTCAAAGGAGTTAGGGGAGAACAGGCTTAGGTCAGGGACAAAAAGGAAGGTGGGTGGGGCTTGAGGACAAAAGGGTGAAGGTCAGAGGGCAAGAGATCAGGGCAAGGGAGGGGAAGGGATGAGTGATTGGGGTAGAGGGGATCAATCCTCGTCAATAAGCATTCTGACGTCATGAACAGGGAATCCTGACAGCGTTGAAGAATTATGAGATGGCTGAATAGCAGCGAAAACTGTTTTCCAAGAGATCATGTAGCTCGCTGCTGAAATAGAATAGCAGTCTTTTTGTTTTAAATAAGCGAAGAGAGAGAGATAGTAAGCAGTGGGATAAACTGAGCCAAACACAGAGAGGAGTGGAGCTGAGAAGAGGTGAATAAACACGAACAAGCCGGGAATGAAGAGAAGTCGGGGACACAGACAAGGGAGAGRGGGGTTGAGGAGAACGCTGTGTCCGCCACACTACCCCACAGTTCGTCTGACAGCACTGACAGACAACGACAAGGAGGGCTTTGACAAAAAAGGATATATGAAAATATGATTCAAGCATGACAAGCAGAGAGTTGCATTGCTGCATCCGTCCATTAGTCCCAGATCTTTGTGCAAAAAAGACAGACGGTCTGAAAAGAAAACGAGGAGCTCACGGAGCATCGCTCATGTGTGTGGTGATGTTGCCCCCACCCCACCCCCCTTTAGATTTCCCTCTCTATCTCCCAGTGCACGAAAGCATGCTGTGAAAAAAGAGCAACGCTTTGTGTTCCTCTGTCCAGCATCATTTTAAGGCTGTTTGAGAGAGAATCCAAATGTCCAGGCAGGAGCCTTGTGGATGTAGATTTCAGTGCTGAGCTGCACACAGCCATGCCAATCCAACGTCTGCCGCTGAATCTACCACAGTTTATCTCATGCCCTCTCCCCTCTCCTTATTTTCAGGGGGCGTGTCTGATACAATGCTGTCAACATGTGATGTCACTTCCTATAGTGAAAAGAAAGGATGATTGGTTGTATCTCAAAATCTGAAAATAAGAGACATATTTTTTTCTGTTTGTCGGTATTAATGCATTAACAGCAATAGTGTGTTTCATCATGGTACAAATTAATTACTAACAAAATTTTAAATCCTTACATGTATGTTTTTCAGCCATTGATTTATTGTATAAGCCTGTAAAACACTAGCTGCTCTAGTTGTATATTTTAGGATGAATTTTAACCACATTTTAGTTGAGATGCTCTAAACCTGAGTTTGCATTTTCTATTTTATAATATTTGCATCCCTGCATGCCAAAGGTTTACATCTCTGTGGAGACACAAAGATGAATCGAGGATGTGCACTGAATTTCCCAAATGAGATTTTATCAAGCAGCTAAAGGCAATTAGACCAAGTCTGCTGAAAGTGAATGATGAATTAGACATGTGGAGATGAGGTTAGAGGGACATTTCTGTGGAAGTTGTGCAGTCATGTGGGATGTTTTTCCACTTATCAAGATAAGAACTCAGGTTTTCGCACATATCCAAATGCTCCCACTGTGGATAGAACTGAGCATGTGCACACCTGTGCTTCGAAAGTGTTGTAAAAAAATCCATTGCTTGTATAACACACGTATAACTTCCTGTGATATGCTAACAGGATAAGTTATTTAAGGAGACATTTGCAAAATCCACGTTTTTTAGCCTTTAAATGCATTCTGTGGTAAACTTGGAGTTGAGTGCAGAAAAGTTTAACTGAGTCTCTCCTGGTGCTGCATAGATATCTTTATATTCTGTTTGTCCTGATGCATCTCAGTAATCCAGGTAAAAAATCAAAAAGAAAAAAAAATGTACAGGTCTTCTGGACGGGTTCTTCTC